CGGGTGAGTATGGAGGGTGAGGAACAGGGGTCATACCATTTTTGGTCAAGAATTGTCGTACAGACAGGGCTGTGTGAGCAGGGGCATTGTCATGATGGAAAAACCAGTCACCCGACTGCCACAAATCTGGCCACTTCCGCCGCAAACTGTTGCGCAATCTTTTCAAAACTTCCAAGTAGAAAGCCTGGTTAACTGTCTGACCCTGCAGAACAACCTCTGAATGGACGACTCCTCTCACATCGAAAAAAACAAATCAGCATTGTTTTCATTTTTGATTTCACCTGACGAGCTTTCTTGGGGTGAGGTGAACTTGAAGTCTTCCACTGGCTTGATTGTTGCTTTGATTCAGGATTGTAAGCATAGCACCAGGTTTCAATCACCGGTGATAATTTTTGAAAAAAAAGTTTTGATCATTTCGGGACTCTTCTTTCAAAGCACAGCATGCTTCCACGCGACCATCACCACATGTCTCACTCAACTGGTGATGAATTTCAATGGGTGTCACACCATGCAAGTGGAGAAAACGAAAGATTACTCGATGTTCTTGTAAAGAAAATGTCGCCATTTTAGTTATCAAAAACACTCCTCACTCTTGCCACCACCACTAGAGTTCTGTGTGCCGTACAGTGCTGCTATCTCTGTCACGCATTCACAAAGAGTGCACATGTATTTTAAACTAAACCGCATGTGTCCATCTGCTCCCAGTCCTGAGAAAAAAAATCGGAGACCTTAGAACTTGAATGCCCCTCATACTTGTAGAACCTGACCATGTTAATTGATTGGATTAGTTTTGCTCATGACATGGTCCAGTGGCAGGCTCTTGCAAACACAGTGATGAACCTTCAAGTTCCATTAAAGGTGAGGAATTTCATTATTAGCTCAGTGACTTTTAGCTTCTCAAGAACTCTTCTCTGCTGAGTTAACACAAACATTCAATACTGCTAGTAGCAAATTCTGCTGTCTGACATGATCTTCACCTAGTGCCAATTATTTCAAATCTTATACCCCTAAGGCTTTACTTAATGTTCTTACATGTTTTCACATAATAAAACCATTAATAAGTAACTTATGGGACAGACTTATAAAAAATGTGCTTACTTCTACAACAGTTTGCCTGTATTCTGGCTTCTGGATGTGGTTTAACATTTCTTCAACCAGTAATGCAAAATTCAGTTCTGACTGTGTCATGTTGGACAGGGTTGGATGCTGTGGTAGGTGGCTCCCCTGTACTGTTATCCCTTGTGGTGTGCGGGACATGACATCCCACACCTGGACATAGAAGTGAATGGGAACACGACACAAACAGCCTTCGAGCCTTCGTCGCTGCAATGGCGTCAAGCTGAAACATACCAGCAAGCATAGGGTGCAGAGAGACTGAACACAATATGACAGTATTCTCATACTGTGGTCTTCTGGCTTATGACAGCGTAGTTTGGTAAGTGGGTACTGAAATTTTCAATCCTCTGATACTGGTACCAACTACCAAACTATATGGTGTCATAACTCAGAAGGCTGCAACATGAATCTTTAACCGTATGAAAACCTTAATACCGTTCTCCTCTTCTGCTTTTGTGCCCGCTGCTCCGGCCGCTCCTTTCCTCCTCGTCGCTGCTACGGCTGCTCCTGCTTGCCGCTCCTTCCACCTTTACCCTTCTTTGCTATTTGGGTACTGAGGTAACCAGGTTGGATTTAGGATAATGGTAGGCATGGATCTCTATCTCAGGTCGATAACAGGTCTTTCTTCGTAGAAACTTTAACACGACTAACCTGTGGCTTTACCTTAGGTTTAATATACTCATTTTTGGTCACAATCACTATTTATGGCAGTTACATTTACACTGTTTCGCTTACAGAGGCGATTCTATAAAGAACAAAGCAAGTGCCTCCACTCACTAGGAGGGTCTCTTATCATATATTGCTTACTACTGGCTCGGCGACGCTAACAGACCTACGGGCCTTCCCAGCACCACACCTTAGATGACATCATTCCCCACATCAATCCGGGGATCCACCACCCCTTCTCCATCTGCAAAACTGCACATGTGAAATAATGTCGTGCTATTATCACGTAGGCACCTCCCCTCCAGGGCCTCACACATTCAAGTCCACTAGTAAACGGTTACAACCTTTCAAAGGTTAAAAGGGACAGAATTGTTCAACAGGGTAATACACTCACCTCTCCTGCGTTGCCCACTCCCTAACAGAGAGCACTTTATGAAGCAGCTGTCGCACTTGATATGGACTGTGACTCTCCAAAGGTTTGGAATCAGATGTCATCTGGAGATAGAGTTTCATGGCTTCCAAAACCCAACTTCAAAGTAAAACAAACCAAATGAAATAATTAAACCCAATGCTGCTATGACCTGAAGCATTTTCAAACCTTTAAACATGAAAATTGCTACAAAAATAAAAATAAACTGGATACAAGGTGTACTTTTCATACAGTTACAGGATTCCAAAACAGTTTGTCATTCTTTTTCTAAACATGTGTACATCTGTACCCTTTACAAAATCATCACTAGTCACTACGTTTAAAGTTATTTGATGATGTGATAATGTTTAAGGCTATCTTTGACTCATCTACTGTCCTAGTTTTTTTTAAATAAAATGTAGGGTAGTAGACAAAATCCAAGAGCCTTAAATATCATTACAGATGGTCTAGTAACACACTTTTTATCACCATGAGAACATGGAAAATCTACAACTGTTTATAGTCTTTCCTAGAATACTGGACTGGCCATACGAGAACAATGGGGAATGTTATGCTTAGCAAGCTGGGCAATGATAATTAAATTTAAAAGATTACATTATTGCTAAAGCAGACACAGATCTTCATTCAAATGAGTAACCTGTGAATTCATTACCACCTCTTACATGAAATATAACTGAAGAGAAACAAAAAAAAAATTACTTCACATGGGTGATGCTAAAGGAAGTAAAAGCTAAAAAGAGAACATACGCTATTAATGCTGGATGCATCAAAACTAATTCACTGATGGACAGTTCATATTTTGGTTGCAGAAACCTAAATGAATGAGATAAATATGGGTCAGTTAGAGAACTGGTTGGAGTGTGTGGAGTACAAGAAGGGTTTAGAGAACATGAATGCAGCATAAATCATCAGAAAGTGAACACAATAATACACTTAGTCTTGGTCAGCATATCACTGAATAGTGGACTAGAAGAAGTATCAATTATGCTGGGTTACATTTTGTCAAATAGTCTTAGAAAGTGGCTCTGATTTGTCTGATGAACGTGAACCCAAAGACGACCCCAGTGATCGTGTTTTTGTAAACAGTAAAAGTGGAAAAATGCTTAGAAGTAAAGAAAATTTTATACTAACAATAGCAATTATAATGAAATCTGAGACAAACTTGGTCACAACCACAAGCATCAATACCCTTGGGATACTAGTGATGTCTACCATTTCAATGCAGATACAAGTGCATTAACCTTTAAACGACTAAAGACAACGTATGTCGTCGTTAAAAGAAAGTCCCCGGTACGAATGACGCTATATGGTGTCGCAGAGTCCGGGCGTGGCAACGTTATATAAAATTAAATTTTAAAGTAGAAAATTATGTCCTACTTACATAATTTTTGGCCACCATCTGCATGGAGTGTCTGTCTTCCCGCCTGCGTCATCTGCCGGAATGTTGCCTTCGTGTGGAATTCTCAAAAAATCCGGAAATGCAGAGTCCGATTTCGCAATTCACGCACTTTGTCCGGGCGGTCTTTCGTGTCCCACGCGAAAAGCACACACGACACCTCAATTGCGAAGTATAGCAAGTCGGCCAGTGATGTGGTTTGGCCTTCTATAGTCGAGATATCTCCCATAAAACGGCAGGGGTTCGACCCC